GGGGGGGGTGAGAGGGAGTGAGTGAGGGAGAAAGAACACTCTCTTTTCTCTCTCCTTGGCCCACCAAGAGCCACGTTTTTCTAACCCTTTCTGTGCAGAAAACTCCAGGTCAGGGGTAGGCAACCTTTCCCCTTTAAGGGCTGAGGGACTTCAGCTCCCAGAAGCCTCAGCCATGTTGGCCAATAGTCCCATGTTGGCCAATAGCTCCTGGGATTCTGGGAGCTGAAGTCCCTCAGCCCTTAAAGGGAAAAGGTTGCCTACCCCTGCTCCAGGTTAATTCCCGCCATCACAAATTCCTTTCCCCGACGCTTTGTCCCGGGATGATTGCGCGACAAGAGAGAGGAGGAGAGGGATCTATGGGTCGGGAAGGAAGGGGCATGGATGGATGGTGGTGGTCCCTGGGAGTCCCCCTTGGCACCCCCTTCTTTCTTAGACTCACCTCGCCCAGGAAGCAGGCCAGGAGTGCCAGCCCCAGTGCCAGCCCCATCTCCTCCACAGTCTGGGTTTGGGTTCAAAGAGAGGGAAAGCCAGCTTCTCCACCCTCCATGACTCAGCAGCAGGGGCAGGAGATGGACTAAGGGCAGGCAGACTTTCCCCAAAGATCAGCCCCATCCTTTATTTATAGCCTCTCTCTGAGGCCAACCCACTAGGGAGCCTTGCCTTCCCCCTTTGACGTCAGAGACATGCACACATACACACCCATCTAAACTTTGCCAAACTTTTCAGGATCTTTCCCTGAGCCTTGGCAGCCTGAGAGCCATTTATTGATTTTTTAGAGGGGTTGCAGACTGCCAGAAATAGTGCAAATGGAGTCCATTTTTAGGGTTAGGGTTAGGGTTAGGGAATCATGGGAACTGTATTTTATTGTGGCACCAGAGCTCTCTGACAGAGAAGGCTCAATGTCTCAGGAAAAAAACAAACAATTCCCATGATTCCCTAGCACTAACCCTAACTCTAAAAGTGGACTCAATTTGCACTATTTCTGGCAGTCTGCAACTCCTAACTTACTATTTCAAGGGTTTATATCCTGCCCTCCCCCCCAAAAAAATAGGATTCAAGGCGGGTTGCAATGATTTAAAAAGGCACATGTCTTTTGCTACCATCCACCGGCCATGATCTTGGAAACGTTTTCCGGGTTCCCAACTTTGGCTATCTGCCTTCCAAAGTCGTTTTTGGTTTGTTTGTTTGTTTGTTTTTCTCCCCCGATTTAGGACGTAGTAGGGTTTTCTTGGCAAGTTTTTTCCCAAAGGTTTTTTTTTTTTAACCTGGCCTTCCTCGGAGGCTGAGAGAGTGTGACTTGCCCAAGGTCAGGCAGTTCCTGGCAGTGCCTGATGAAGAAGCCCGTGGAGCTTCGAAAGCTTGCAACAAGTATATTGGGCATTTTGGTGAAAGGGATCACTGTTTGGGGGATTTTTGTTTGAATCTGGTCTTCCAGGTGTTTTTGGACTGCCACTCCCAGAAGCCTTCAACCATCTTGGGTCCAAAACACCCACAATGCAGAAATAATCCAGTTTGAGACCGCTTTAAGTGCCCTGGCTCAGTGCTAGGGAATCCTGGGAACTGCACTTTTGAGAGACATTAAGCCTTCTCTGTCAGAAAGCTCTGGGGCCACAATAAATTACAATTCCCAGGATTTCCTAGCACTGAGCCAGGGCAGTTAAAGTGGTCTCAAACTGGATTATTTCTGCAGTGTAGAGCTGAAGTCCAAAACACCTGGAAGGCCAGAGGTTGGGAATCGCTACCAGGCTTCCCTCTCGCTGTTTTACTGAGAAAGCCACTTTCCCCCCCTAAAAGTTTTGAAAGTCACAACCACTCCTGGAGTGGAATAAGAGGACAAAACACAACCCAACTGTTTGTTCATTTAATAGAGATACTTAAGGTATTTATTTCTCCACTGGATGCCAAAATGGTGCCAGGAGAGAAAAACTTCAAGTTGCTGGGGTTTTTTTAGTGAACTTTTTATTATCAAACCACTGTACAAACTTGCAGTGATAAATATGCAATGTTTTGTAAGCAACATAAAGCTATGCTGTTTTTGTCGTGTGTCTTCAAGTCGGTTCCGACTTATGGCGACCCTAAGACAACAGGGTTTTCTTGGCAAGTTCTTCAGAGGAGGTTGAGAGAGTGTGACTTGCCCAAGGTCATCCGTTGGGTTTACATGGCCCAGTTGGGATTCAAAAAATTAAACTAAAGCTACTAAACTGAATTAAAGGTGCATGCTAAAATTTCCTGCCTCTGAATATAACGAAGGGAAATCTGTGTCTTGCAGTCTATTTTGAGGCTTAACTTTTGAGTTCAGTAATTCAGTTTTCCCTGTCATTCTCTGCTCTTGTGCCCCAACAAACTACCATTCCCGGAATTCCATAGCATTGCACCATGGCAGTTAAAGTGGTGCCAAACTGGATTATTTCTGCAGTGCGGATGCAGCCTAAGGAGGCATCACTATTCAGCTACTTCAAATGATCTGATGCTGTGTGAAGGTTTTCCCATTAAAATCATACTCCAAACTTTACTCCACCTTTTAACAACAGCAAGACAGAAAGGCTAATGTAGACTTTTATGTTCAAGTAAAAATTACCACAATCACAGAAGCCTCAACTATTTCAAGTAATATTTGCAACACCTGCTCATGAATTGACCTCATCTGTTGTTGTTGTTGTTGTTTGCTATCAAGTCAACTTCACTTTATGGTGGCCCCATGAATGGGAGGCATCCAACAGCTCCAGTCATCAACTGGTCTCAGGTCTTGGAAGCTCAGGATTGTGGCTTTCTTGATTGACTCAGTCCATCTGTAATGCAGTCGCCCTCTTTTCCTAGTGCTTTCCATTTTACCAAGCATTGCCCTCTTCCCCAGTGACTTGTGATGTCTTATGATATGCCCAAAGTGCCATAGCTTCCATTTTGTCATTTTGCTTTTAGTTCAGGCCTGATTTCTTCTAGAACCCATTAATGTGTCTTTTTAGCAGTGCCATGGTTATTATGCAGAACTATCCTCCAGCATCGTATTTCGAGAGTTGATCTTGTCAGGTTTCTTTGGTATGCAGTTTTCGCAACCACACATAGAAATCAGAACGACTATGGCATGGATGATCCTATGGTGGTATTAGTGATATGTCTTTACAGTTGAATCTCTACCCTGCCCACTTTTCCCCCCGGTTCCACTTTTGTCTAATGGCATAGTGAAGATGAAGTATGAAGAGCATTTAGCAGCCAGCCTATCTCTGTAAACTAACCACAAATGGGAAAAGAGTGCTAGTGACAAGCCACAAAATGCTACTCAGCACACACTGTGGTGTCAAATACATGTTACAATAAATTGTATAAGATGAGCAATATAATAGATGAAAGGTATACTAATCAAACACTGAGCAGAGAGTGTGCTGGCACACAACAGGAGCACAACATACCAGTATGTACTACGATATTACAAATAAAGGAAAACCCAGAATACTATACAACAGTAACACAATATTTGTATGCTCTACTATACAAATAAAAGGAAGACACAGATTTGAAAAAAGACATGCTGATGATAACCTGTTTTAAGATCTCTGTCAGGAACTATTTTCCTTCCATCTTTGAGTGCCACTCTGTTCAAAATATATAAAAACTTATTTTTATAATACATATACTATACTATAATACATGTCTCAAATCACATAATATATGAATTATATAGTCTATAATATTGCTAGAAGCTGATACATTTTATACTTCCAGGAGTAGGCCACAGAAAGTTGTAAGACTAAATGTTCCATATTCCCTGGGAAATTGAAACTAGGTCATAATGATCCTGCTAGAGCCAGTGTGGTGTAGTGGTGTGAGTGCTGGACTACAGCTCTGGAGGTCTGGGTTCGAATCCCTGTTTGATCATGGAAACCCACTGGGTGACCTTGGGCAAGCCACATTCTCCCAGCCTCAGAAGGCAAAAGCAATCCACTCTGAACGAATCTTGCCAAGAAAACCTTGTGATAGGGTTACCATAAGTCAGAAAACGACTTGAAGGCACACAACAAAACGATCCTGTACAGTTGATTATATTCTTCCTGAGCTGAAAGATGTAGGTTTGGGGCATGTATACAGGTTATGTTTAAGTTATTATGCCATATTTTGAACAGAATAGCCCTCAATAGCATCTTATCAAGATCTTCAGCAAATAGCTCCTGTACTGTGTTGTTTTTTTAATTCATGCCTGAAGAGATGGGAATTTAATGCTGTTTTAAATACGGACAGTATATTCACCTGTTGAATCTCTTCCAACAGATTATTCCACAGTCTAGGGGTGGCTGATGAAAAAGTTAGCCCTGTTACAGTTGGATATTATGTTGTATTTTTCTTCTGTTTGTTTATTTGTACTGTATAGTGCTTATGTTATGTAACTACAGAATGCCAGCCCATTATTCAATACATCCATCCCTTTATTTGTATAGTACCTATCCCCTGCGCCCTAAGATTGGAACCCAAGATGATTTACAAGAAATACAAGGCCACATGTAGTTAAAAATCTAAATAAATAAATTAAAATACTAGTGTTAAACAGACTCACCTTGCTCTGGCAAGTAAATGAGGCAATAACATAATTTTAATTGTTTACTGTTATCTGTGACAGATTACTGAGTCTAGGAATGAGGAAAATAAATTTCTTCCCCTTGTGTGTGTGGGTTTCTACTTCTAATATTAAAACAACAATAACAGTAACAATTTCTTACCTGCCTTTCCCCAGGGATCAAGGAGAGGAAAAGCAAGGCACCACACATAACATCAGTTAAAGCACATAGCACCAGTTTAAAAGAAGATATAAGACCAATACATACTGAAACAATTGGTCCATGGTTTAAAGTTCATCATTTAAAGTTAATAATTTAAAAGTCATCTGGACAGACCTGCCTGAAGAGACGGGAATTTAATGCTGTTTTAAATATGGACAGCATATTTAGCTGTTGAATCTCTTCCAACAGATTATTCCATAATCTAGGGGTGGCTGATGAAAAAGTCCTTTGGGTGTTAGTTGGTAACTTAGCTGATTAGAATAAATGTTCCCCTGAGGACTTGAGTATATGGGGTGAATTATATGGGAGGAAGTGATCCAATAGGTAACCTGGACCAAAACCACTCTTAACCATTTAAACAGGTGACACTTCTAAGATGGTTTGCTTTCTAGATACAAGCTAAAGGCTTAGTTTCAGCGGACTAAGGATCTCTGTCAAAGCTTGCTGTGTTTGACAAGCTGAAGCTATGCAGTCAGAACTAGGAATCAGAGTCTAATCAAGGGCAGAGCTAGGTAAAATGAGGGCATTGCCCTCCAAATAAAAATTCTGCCCCCTTTTGAAATTCTCCTTCAACTCCCAAATTTCTAGAATCACAGTAACTTAAAACTTCAATGGTGCCTTTAAACATAGAACTTAGGCATCCAAAGAAAAGGGGCAGGCAAAGTTACCAAGGGAATGTGAAAACAGTAAATAGAAGAGCTCTAGAGGTGTAAATCATTTTCAGTGTCTCACTCTGTGCAATGCTGGAAATTTGGGGACTGAAGGAAAATGCCATAGGGGGGGCAGAATTCTTATTTAAGAGGGCAATGCATGCATTCATTTCCCCCTACTTGGTAACTGTTCCCCTGAATTCAGTGAAGCTTAATCAGTGATAATTATGTCTAGGACTGTTCTGCTGACTCTAATAAAATGCATACAAAGTTATGCACTGCTGTTCTTGGGGGCATGCATATATCAATATACAGTATATGGGATGGAGAACTCTGGGGCTTTAAGGGACCACCTAGAAGACCTTTGAAGGCTTCACACTTCTCCTGCCACCTTGAAACTTTGTTCCTCCCAAATGCTCCCCACCTGGGGGTGGGGAAGAGAATTGGCTATGTTTTGGTTCTCTCTGAACAGTTTTAAGGGTGTCCGACTGAACTTTGGAAATGATTTGGGATGACATAAATGGTCTTAGGGCACAGTGGCTTCAGTATATATGTGCACACTATCATAGTGAGTGCCTGCTTTTCAAAATTTATGGTTTGTATAATCTTTTAACAAATTGTAATGTTTTAATGTTTAATGTTTTAACTTTATAAATTGTTTGCTTCTTAACTGGCTTTTATATTTATACTTTAATAAAAGTTTTTGTATCATTTTAAAATCTGCAATTTTCAAAAATGTCGTTAACCACCTTGAGTCCCATTACTGGGAGAAAGGTGAAATAGAAATGATGAAGATGATATAATATTGCTGCTTCTCTTCACCACCCTTCATTTGGGGTATCCTTTTTCCAAAGTCCCATCCTCCTTGCCTAAGTCCAATTTCCTCAGTAATGAGCCTACCTTCTCAGTCCTTTGGTTCCTGTCCTCTTAGATCATGTTTCTTTTGCCCTTTCCTGTACTATTTTATCCACCTTGCCATTTTCCAATACCCAAGCAGCTCAGGAAATGGCATCTAAGGTCTTTGTATTCAACTTCCTCTATGGCAGGAGGCCAACTCAGTGAATAGCAGGCTAAGGCATCCCCATGTCTACTGTAACAGCCATTGCTATTGTTACTATGTTCTTTCAAGCGGACTCTGACTTACGGTGACCCTACTGTAGGGTTGCCTTCTTTTGTATACAAGCACCTTCAGCACCTTTCCTGGCAGTCTCCTTTCCAAGTTCTAAATAGCCCTGATCCTGCTTAGTTTCCATGATGAGACAGTAGTCAATATTTTAGGGTATTCAGGCCATCGCAGTAACACAATGTAATTTGCTCTCTGGTAGAAAAGTAGTGTTCCTTTGCTTGTACGAAAAACAAGTTTCTGGCTTGTGAAAAAATTAAAAAGTAACATTTTAATAAACAGTAATGAATAAAATGCCTCCACACAACAGTCAACATATGGTACAAAGATCATGTGTTCCACAAACACAAGTTCCAAATGCTTCCAAACAAAGTAACTACAGTTTACAAATATTGTTAGTTATTCAGACTTGAAAGATATTGGGGACTCCAGAGACAATGTCCATTTTAAGTGTAGATGTTATGAACTTCATTTGTTGTCACCAGTTTTGTCAATAGTTCTGTGCTTCCTGAAATGTCCTGAGTTCAAAAAAAGAAAAGAAAAAGACGATTCAATATACAAATAACTGTTGCTTACTTAATTGCCCCACTCTCATTTATAGAATGGGGGGGGGGGGCAGAAGCTGTATGTTCATAGCCATTTAAATCCAGTTCCTGCCACAGACCACAACAGTGCAACACTTCCCCAGTTATGGGGAAAAGGCAGGATCGATAGATAGACAGACTGACAGACAGATAGATAATAACAGCAATAATTTAGAAGCCACAACAATTGAAACTAACATAAAAGCAGGCATTCTTTAGTAGGATAAATTAGGTTTCTGATGCATGACCCATGAAAGGAAGTCTGGGGATAAGCTTAGATACTTCAGCTTACTATGCCATTGTATCTAATGGGACTTGAGCATCCACAGATTTTGGTATCCATGGGAGGTCCTGGAACCAAACCCCAACAGATACCAAGAGCCCACTGTACTATCAATTTAAAAACACAATTTTGAATAAAGAAATGAATGGATATGTTTTAAGAATATTTTCAAATATGGAAAAAATATAGGAATTTACACAGGAAGCTTGTAATTCATATTTCCTCAGGTTAAACTGTGAAAGGAAGCAGTCCAATGAAGGCGGTGGGACTTTAAGTAGTTATAAATCATGGTTGGTACAAGAACCTGGCAAGGTCAGTAGCTGTTGAGAGAGACTGGAAGTATGAAAGACTCCCTGTTAGTCCAGAAACAAAAAGATGATTTGAGGTCCATAGCCAAGATACAACCAGCATGCTTCTGCTGGAGGGTTTCCAGCAAATGCCCAGCTTGGCTCTTCATGTAACTGTATCCTTAAAATTGTTACCTCTATAAAAAGCTCTTTCCATAAATTAACATTAATTTTCTTCACAGCAACTACCATGGTGTCTAAGTAGCCAACAGCTCAGGTAAGGTAATTAAGGCTTACCTTAACCAAACTCTTTAGAATTTTGGAAGACAGAACAGGCTGGAAAGCTTCAACTGTTACCAAATCCAATTTGAGGATATCAGTGTAACACTGATAAAACACTGCAGGGATTTTCCACACTTGGCAGTAACTGAGAACTAGGCGCAAGGGGAGAGAAAAGGCAAACATGATTATTCACTTGCTCTTGCAGTAGAAAGTAAAACACAAAATGTTGAACAAATCTGATTGAAACACACATTTTTAACACTTAATGGGTGGGATTATGTATTTTATGCATAGTGTTTCACCCATGCAGTTTCACATCCTTCCTTCCCACCATGGAGGACACTTTCAACCACAAGGAAAACTGCCACAGCAATCTAGGGAAGGATAGGAGGTACCCAAGCAGTATCTGCCTGGGGTTCAGCAGCCAGAACAAGCAGCCCATTCCTTCCCTGTTCTCTGCCACTGTTGGTATTTGTTTGTCCTGTTACTGTGATTACTTTAATGTATGTTTTAATGTGTTTTAATCTGGTTATTGTTTAATATTATTTTAAGGGGTGGGTGGACTCTGGGATTATATTGTACTCTATGTATTTTAACGCTGTATGCCGCCCCGGTTGCATTGCAGAGGGGCGGGATAAAAATACATTATTATTATTATTATTATTATTATTATTATTATTATTTACACCTGACATCCCTCCCCCCATCTCTCACAGCAGCACTCCAGTGTGGAAAAGTTGCCTTTTGTCAGGATTGTGGTGATTACAATGCACAAGATGGTTTTGAATATCTCCTTGCACAACATCCAAAATAGGACATACATTCATATTACCCTCATTTACTTGAATGTATGTCACTAAGACATACACCGAGGCACTAAGTTCTAGGCAATGTA